ATATATAATGCGAAATTTACCCAAGTACAATTTAACCAACTTTACCCAAGTACTCTAAGTCAATAGGGGGCTTGCCAGACATTTAACCTGCTTAAACTGAATGCAATTTAGTGAATATCACCGAGGAACAAAAATGCTCCCATAGGGCTAATTCCCAATGAATTTATCGGTCTGCGTGGATCGATTCAGATCGACTCTGGTTGTATGCAATCAGATCAGGAGATAAAAATGTATGGTATATTGTGATTTGCAAGGCATATTGTTCATTCTTTAGAATCTATACATTTGCTGAAAACTTATGGGAAGCGAAAGAAAATCGTTTAATGGAAACATACAAACCCAAGCTTCATGGAGAAAAATATAACCCCCAAATAAAATTAAACACAATAAACAATTTTTTGTTGAATTGAATTGTTTGAATTGTTCATCTCAAAGCAACGAGGTGAGCCAACATTGTCTTTGCAACAAAGGAATACAGCATAGTTGATTTATGTAGCAGTAGCTGTATGGTTACTGAAACCATTCCCTGACGAGTCATTAAAAACGTTAATAGTATTGTAACCCTTTATTATCATCCAGATGCCAAGAACTAGGTTTTTTATTATTCAATCGCGCATCCATCTTTCTGTTGATGTAAAACAATGAAAATCTCCTCGAAAATATAAAATATCGACGTATTTATTTCTCGTTGCAATGTATAAGGAGAGGCAGCCCAAAGCTTTAATCGTCAATTTAACACCTTTCTATTTTGAGGTGAGATAGTAATCGGCATGGAGCGTAACTTCATCCCTGAACAAGATTTTATCACGAAAATTGGCATAGCTGATCAAAAGTGTATAGGCTACAATTTTGCTCCGTCATTTCGGTTTAAATGTTTTTCTTATGGAGTTATGAGCCCCTAATTACAGATTTTCATTAAACAAAGATATTTTTTGCTTTATCAACGATAAAAATCCGAAATAAGGCTTGCAAGAAAAATCGCTGACAGGCTTTTGGAGTACTAAATGGTGTCATTAAATTGGCGTTAAAACGGTGTTCGTGGGTGTTCAGGTAAAGAAGAAATGTGAGAAACAGATTTTTCAATATTTACCCCAAAATCGCAATTATAACGTCACCCTTAAGACGAAATGTGTAAAAAATGTTAATTAATTTAACCACTGAACTCTGAAGATTTATCCGTTACCCAAAAGAATGTACAATATGTAAAACAGTAAATAAGGAGTTTTTGGCAAAGGGTAACAATAACCCTAAAACGCAATTAAACGTCAATAATAAACACACAAAGAATGTGATGTTCTTTAATCTTTATTGTTATACGTAGCCTACATGTATACACTGATCAAAAAGGTTGATCAAAAATCCAATTTGTTACACCTCCAATTTCGTGTGTCTTTATTTGTGAATTATATCACCACAGTTTTAAAGCGTTTTAAACAATCATTCTTATTGGAGATGCCATTTCTATCATGACTTATGATACATAAAAACAAAATCCCTTTGTAGACATCCATATTTTTCTAATTTCTTCAAATTTAGAACATGAAACTTCAGAACTCAAATCTGATGTTCTACAGTAATTTTCGAAGACTAGAGGGAAAATGTCTATAAAATTAAAAAGACACTACCACCAGATTTGCACACAATTAGCATCCGAATGTGCTGTTTGACAGTCTAATAGTGTGTTTGTCTCCCACGTAGTACAATTATCTCCTTCCTACACGCACTGAGACATGTTTTCAACAAGGCTCATACGTCACTCTCTGACCACAGGGTGTGCTAATAATGTTTCAAATTTATAACATCGATCTTAAAATGTGTATACTAATTAAGAAGCCTCTAATATCCGATGATAGTCATATGTCTGTTTTGTAAGATATTGCCCTATCCTCAGCATTCTTCCTGTAGAGCTTGACGGAGTTGGAAAATGATGGTACCATACTGGGTACTGTATGAACCTCGCAGTGCGGGTCTGGTAAAGCTGGTTTTATTTGTACTTATCTTTAAATTCTCAGTCTTTGAATTTCTACAGCTCCTGAGTAATCTAGACCATGGAGTCAGTAATAAGAATTTGAGAATCAATCTGTAAAGATAGATTCCCCAGTTTATGTCATAGCTCTGATTAAAATCATCAAAATATATCGCCAAAACGGGCTTCTAAGGCAACAGTACGCACTGTCTTTCACTACTGCTGCCTACTTAAAGGGATAATAACTCTTCGTTTTGGCCAAAAAATGAATTTTCCTGGAGTAAACAACAATTTTCCCATGCTTACCAATGGTTAATGAATCCATTTTTACATTCAAAGTTAGTCCCTGGTTTTTTTCTAAAAAGTTTGGTTTTTTGTTAAAATCTCTTAAGAGATTTTAACAGAGTATAGCCATCAATGGAGGTCACGTGGTCTGAAGACAAGCTCAGATATCAGAATAATAGCTATAACTGCTGTTTTTGTCGTAAAACAGAATATATTATATTTCTGTGAGTTATTCACAATGTTTTTATTGTGAAATATAGACCTCATACGAAGAGTTATTATCCCTTTAAGCAAAAGCCCTCACACGAGGAAGATTAATAATAAGTTATACAGATGGGAGTTTTTTCACCTTAAAACGTTTGGTCTATGTGAACTGCTATGCATATGCACATGCGTTCATAGGCATGATCTTGTATCGGTTTATAGCGATATTTTATAGAATAATTATAATGCCCTTTTGGAGCGGAAAATTGTTGGTAGCAGGTTATATCTGATATTATCATTTTAAAACGTAGACGGTATGAAATATGACTATGATTAAACACAGTAGCGATTGTAACCATATTTTGGTTCAGTGTAACCGTATTTTGGTTCAGTGCTTTAGGAATATCACAGTGACATACACTATATGTATGTGTATTCTTCGAAAGAAAGGATTCCCATAAAATCTTTGTTGAGGTCTTGTTGGTTTTCAAAATCAGACCAAGGTAATTAGTTTGGTCTTGTGCCGTCGCGTGCACACTAAGTGCTCCAGCGGAGCAAGAACATTTATAAATTAAATCTGACGCAGAAGTGTAGGAGCCCGGGGGGGGGGGGGGGGGG